GTAATTATATGTACCATCTGATTATGCGTTCGGCAACTCTATATTTATGGGTTTCTTACAAAGCTTAGAATTATCAGCGATTATATCAGACAGTCTGCATTAAAAGTATGTAAACTCTATAGACTAGAAAGCATTTATTACTAAACACAAGCTTTCCCTGAATTTTCGTAAGTCATGTTTATTAATAAATGAAACTAAACTCTAATAAACTTTATTGGTTTGATTTGGTTCGTGTAGCTCAGGAGGATTAAAATCTAGTTTTGATGTTCTAGTCAGTGGCCTGAAATGACGTCAAACCACAGCCTGTTTCAACTTTTATAGGCCCTACATTAGTCACATTGAACAGACTTCTAGTCTCGTTGTTTTGTGATTTTAAATAAATCAGTTTCTCGTTGCTTGTCAACAGTTTAATTTCAAAAGAGAAGTATCATTACGCGGAGCCAAAATGGTAAATGACTTTTTTTAAGAGAAAACTGAAATTGTAAACAAAGTCTTAGTGGCCATAAGACCTGCGTCCTTGGGCCGTTCGAAGTTTAATATCACAGGTTTGAATTCCACTCAAGTCATAGATGGATGTTATATATCAGCGATTGGCCGATCCCACACCTATGGAATGCTATCAAATGGCTGAAGGATTCATTGCTTCAGAAGTTAATTATGAACTGCCACATTTCAAAGGGCATAACCCCTCTAAAATCTGAGGTGTATTTAAATTATTTCAGTAGACTTTATGCAGTTTATTTTAAGAATTCAGACGCTTGGTTTAGTCCCATGTGGGCCGAAGATTTTCTGACTTCAATAGTTACCTGTGGTCTCGTCATCATTCTACTAATAATTTATAATTATCCATCATTACGTGGTTAATTTATTAACGTGTTTATATTTTCTCAACTGATGTCACTGTGTTAATATCTGACTTATTTCCCAACAGGAAATGTTATTCAGTTACATCTTTCCAAGCTATTTTTTATTCACAACACAAATTCAAAATAAGTTTACGTGCTTTTCTAATTATACTTCGTAGTACAGTTTCTGCTCTGAATGGGGCATATAGCAAGTTATTTATACCTCTAAAGTTGAGAGAATTAAAGTTGTATTACGAGCTCCTTTTCAGTACAAACTTTACTGTCGTTTAGAAACCGCTGAAGTGCTTCATGGAAACTTTTAAAGGAAGGAAGAGTTTCGCCATTGACGGAACTGCCAGGGACCGTGAATAAAGCCGGTCGAGCCGTTGTAACGGTTTGCCATTAGCCGTCACAAAACTGATTACCTGCCTTAGGTCTGAT